CTGTATTACACCTGGTCGCCAACGTGTTCAGCTTTATGGCTGCGCCTCGAGGCTTCAGCGCTGCAATGCTTCAAGTGCTAAGTATGAATTTCAAACGAAGGTCAGGGTCGTTTATTTCCGCAGGACAGGACTCACAGGACTCCGCTCAAGTTGAGCTACTGCCACATTTGCTCCCAAAAATAAATCGACTACAGCGCTTGTTTATACTGAACCACTGCAAGGAATATAGCTGCGTCGCCGAAGTGCGGGTACCGGGGTATGCATACATACTAACAGGAGCAGCGGATCATGATGTTGCGCCCTGGCACGCGAGAACCACGCGTACACGAGCCTCGAGTGTAGTGTACTTAGGTCCAAGTGGCTATGATGCGCGCGTCCGTCACGTTGGTGGTGTTATGTAATATATTGTCACGGACATGTTGAACTCTATTCCCCGAATCCAGATCACATGCCATTTTTGCTACAGCCTCTGCAGAGTCTAAGTAGCTATAGATCTCCGCACATAATCATGGAACGAGAGTTTCATCCACCCTCTAAATCTTTTTTTCGGCTTGCCCGCAGTATTCAAGCACACAAAGTACACGACATTCACCAATGTATGGCTGTGACCTCGAGGCTTCAGCGCTGTAACAAGCTACATTTCAATCCCATGCTGCATCATCGTTCTCCATAATTTCCGCTAGCCACGTGGAGTTGGGGGTCTTTCAACCACTGCCGACTGCACAAATTCGCTCCAAATGCAAGACTTAACTTCTTGCCAGTCCCTCACACCTTTATTATATCTGCTTCCTCTTCAATCACAGATTGTATCTCGTTAAACCTTCTATACGATGTCCATCTCAGATACGCGTCAGACACAATCACTATCACCGGCGTCATCAAGCAACCACAAGGTATGTGCCCTATCACTGCTACATTCACACGCGTCGTCGAGCAAATACAAAGTACGTACCCTACTTCTTGAGTCGCATCACCGCCAAGAAAGCTAACTGGCAAAATCTAGCAGATCATAAATGTTATCCTCTTCGGCGAACACGGCTCAGGGAAAAGTTCAGTTCTCAATGCAATAGCGCAAAACTCTGCTGTGCAGACATCTAGTAATGCAACGGCTTGCCCCTTTAGCTATCAACGCAATGAAGTAACAATCGCCAGCCAGAGATTTGCCCTGTTTGATATCGCGGGTCTCGATGAGGGGACGACGAGCACAGCGCTGGACAAAGAGAAACTGAAGAGTCTGCTATGCAGGCTCACGAACGCTGGATCCGAAGGCATCGGACTGCTAGTGTACTGTGTACGCAGTACGACACACCGTCGCGCCCTTATTCGGAACTACGATCTTTTCTACTCTGCGATCTGCAAGGAGAAGGTCCCTATCGTCGTCGTCGTCACAGGATTGGATAACGAGAGAGATATGGAGAGCTGGTGGACTACCAATGGAAAGGATTTCAAGAGTCGTGACATGCATTTCCAAGACCACGCATGCGTCACAACGCTACACAGCTACCAAGGCATGCCAGACGCCCTCGCTTATCGCATTGCAGCCTCCGGGAAAACTCTGCGCGAGCTTATCGTAAAAAATTGCTCGGAATCGCCGTTTGATGACATCCACATCAAGGCTACTTGCGTAGATGTGCGAAATATGATTAGGAATAGCGAAAGGTATTTGCCATCTACCTTCTCATACGCTATGCTCGCGCTGACGCGCGTTCTATGCAGCATACTGCGGGAAAATGGTGTCGGTCATCATCGATGGCGCTGGAGGTCTATTCTCGACATTTGCTCATGGTGGAGACGTCGGAGATGATGTGAAGCAACAGGCGAAGCAGGAGTTGCATCAGTTACCACTCATTCAGCCAGATCACTCACTTGGCCACTTCGCAATATCTTACACAATTCTCCGCACAGTAATTCTAAAGTACTACGAAGTTGAATGATCAAATTTGATGGAGGATCTTATTGAGCTCCGAGGCACTCTCGATCAGGTGATCGAGACTTATTATATTGCTTGTGGGTCGCTGAATAAAATGGTCAAATAAAATTCTCGCTACTTTTACGGCCCTCTGTCAGGCAGTGAGTGTAGGACGCAAAACTCTGCCAAGGCTCTTCAAATCACGCACATACACTCATCTACAGACTACCGACACGGCCCGTGTTTTTCGGTGGTGTTGTTGGTGGGATCAAGGCCGTACGTCCAAATGTTGCATTACTAGGCTGATTTGCATTACTGGGCCATCGATAATGGGTGACTTCCCGCAGCGTTTAGAATTCCAGATATGCGTTCCAAACTGTTCCAAACCTTGTGTGCCGAGGAGCCGCCGTGAAACGTAAGCCATTTCCAACTCCACACGTCAAACGCACCCCCTTCTAGATCATAATCTGGAAGGGGGGGGGGGGGGGGGGTACCCCCCTTCCAGTTTCAGATTGTCGTTCTAACGACATTCCAATGTCCGCGACAATTGTTTAGTGCGTACCGCTCACACAAAGTCCACTAGGTCTGTGCATTATCCATGCGCCAAGCATGCTCCTCACGGTCTCACCATGCAACAGCTTCATATTCTGGGCGATAGCGGTGCATTTCCATATGATGCAGCGAAACGACTCAGCAACCGTTACGATATTTTATGTATGTCCAAGTCTCCCGGATCCTCTCTTTCATGCTAATCAACATTCGTCTCAGGTGCACGCTGCATTCTGCACCATGTGCAAAGGTCACTTGAGCTGCCGACTCACACAAGAGGTCCGCTTTTTTGTACCTTGCAATGTAGATGGTGTGCTTTGCGCTTTGGTATTTAACAAGTGCGTCTACATTCAATCTAAAGGTATGTACGGCGTGCTTGTCGGCGCTCAGAACGCTAGCATCGTGAGTGGTCTGCTCCTACAAACATGAGTGCCCCAAGAACTCCGAGTTGGCGCTGTCGTGCTTTGTCATCATCTTCATCAGACTCAGTATCAGCTAGTAGCGAAAGACACGGCTGATTTTCGTCACAGCCGTTGTTCATGGTTTGGTCGAATTGGAATCTATTGCCAGAAAGTACATATCACATTGCCTGCGGTTTGGAATGAGTATCTAGATTATTTTCTAGACTTAGCCGGAACTCCGCTGTTAAGGTTTGAATACAAGTCTGGAACTCCAAATCCTGCGGGAAGTCAGCCAATACGAGGCGATTTGTAGAGGAAATTGCAAATATGATCCAAGGATAAGAATAAACCGCGACCCGCGTAAGAAACACGTAAAATCACTGACCCCTATTCCCTTCACGACCCAATTGTCAAGTGTTCTGGTGCTCTATCATGGGACTTAGCTCGGCGTACAAGCCCTGCACAGAGGATGTTGCAGTGTCAACTGTAGCCTGAGCTACACCGAATTCATTCACCAGGGTTGCTTGGCTCTGCTGCAATGTGACCAAAGTCTCGTGCACTTCTTGCGCTAGATCTGCTAACCACCGTCTCCAAACACCATGGTCTGACCCTAGACAGTTGAGTCTCGTCGTTGTCACGAGGGCTTCTATTCCATCGACGTAGCGGCTGATATCAGAATGTGCTTCTTTCCATGTTTCTTGAAAGCGTTTTCGCCACCACTCCTGGGCGGGGCTAAAAAGAACATCCCCGCCCGAGAGATTCGCGTGTCCGAAGATCACGAGAAGGTAGCATCCGGCGGAATTGGCCTTCTGCAAACAGACTTGACCAACCAGAGACCTGCACCGCTCAACATGGTGATCACGGATCAGGCGTTGGCGCCACTCCTCACGCTTTGCGAGTTGAGAGACGAGGCGGAGGTAGCAAAGGTCTCGCTCCTCGTGGAAAGTGGTGTCGGGTGAACTGTCTTGGATTGTCTGCGTGTGATCTGGCTGTACAGCAGTGAAAAGAGCGCGAGAAAGTTCGTCTAGGAGTTCGGCATCGACACCCTGTGGTATCGCGACTAGTTCTTTTCGAGCGCCAAAAACAGCTCTCAGCGCGGCATACCGGACTCGGGAAGGTCTGGCAGGGGCCATACAACGAATAAGCGAGCTGATGTAGGGAGATCGCTTGGCAGGACTCCCTAGTCCCTCCATGGCGCTCAGTGCAAGTATGGCATCGCCTTCAGATTCATAGTCTGTATCCTGGGCTGCTAGGTAATCGACGAGCCAGTCAAATTTTTCACAGTCGGGCTCTTGCCCGTCACGTTGACGCCATCGCAGATCACCATCCCAGATCAATTGCTCATCGTCTGGAAGTGAAAGACGAGTGTCCAGACCGTGGACAACCATTGTTCTCAGAGCGGTGCGTGCATCGGCCTGATATTTCTGCGAAGCATCGTCTTGCTGTGGATTCTGAAACCGATGGTAGGCGTCACGGCCAATCATGAACGCATCGCGAATGAAACGACTCCTCCCTCCCCAGCAATCCCAATCGAACTTCTGAAGAAGTGCTGGATCGATTTTCACTGACTGGCTGCACAGATGGGCCATGGCCTTGCCATACTTCACATATAGTTCCTCGTCACGACATGCCGCGAAGAGATCACGTAAGCGGGTATATGCTGCGGAGGCATCAAGGTTCGGCGACCATTGCACGAGAGGTACCATTGCAGCCGCAGCCTCGATAGCTTCCAGGGTTGATGTCTCTAGTATCCAGCGTATCGCGGACAATTTACTGACTATGGTGTCAGTCGGAGTCGATCTTACTGAAAAGATTTTTGTGCAGATGACTGCAACTCGCTGCGACCCTGGTGTCGAGAAAGGACTATCCGGACGCCACACTGCCAGGACGATCATGCCTGCATAGATGAGCATGCCGAAAGCGGTGGCACAGATGATAACACTGGACATCTTCTTTTGCTGGGTAAATGTGTGGGCGCTTAGCGATAAGCCGAAGAGCAGCAGCGAGATCTGGAGGAGCACGAGGAATGCCTGCAAGACAGTCTCCAAGTGAAAAGATTCTATTGCGTCCAATTTCATCTGCCTCTGTATGCCGCGTTCCTCCAGAGACCCTCGTCCCCGAGCTGCCTTGTAGGAGTTGAGCCACTGTTTTCCTAAGACAGCCCCGAACGCGGCCAGGACGCTGAACGAGAGGCTGGCATAGGCGAGCGTCTGCATCCAGACGGTCGAAGACGAATAACCTGTGGACGAGGAAAGTGTGCTGATGTCAGGTACGGAATTTGGACCGTTGGCAGTGATCTGGATCAGGTGCAGCAGGAGGTCATTCGTAGTGTCTCCCGGATTAGGTTGCATTCCGACGATGAAGGTAGAATTGACAGCTGAGAATAGACCAGCCTGGTTCGCCTGTCAGAATTGCATCAACATTCATAGAAGCGGACTCACAAAAGTCAGGATGATTCCCATATCGTCATTCGCCCGCTCGAGGAAGTCGTTGTCATACTCATTCGAAACTTTCTTGTACGTTGCCCAAAACTTCGAATTGACATCTTTGCCGCGTTCTTCAGTAATAGTAGACTCTCGGAGGACATCGAGGATCTGCTCCAGGGCGTTTGACCTTTGAAAAGATATAGTCAGACATCAAGTGTACCGTGCTGAGCATTTAGCATTCACATATTCTGAGCAAGGCTTCTCTCTATGGACACCGTATGTTCCTCGCTCGCTACGTGTGGCTTGATTCCATCCCTGTAAGTTCATACTAAGCGTTACTCTCGGCTCATTCCAACTTGCTACTTACTCGCTGACTGGGAAGTCGGTATCGACAGGTGTGGGACTGGGCCGTGAAGACCCACTTTGCAGATTGGGGGTTGTATTGCACATAGCGCTAGAGGAAGTGAGAGAGCAATAGTCCCCCAAACTACTTATATGACTCCCTTGGCTGCTGTGGTGCCGTCAATGATCAACCATCTAAGAAGCCCTTCTCCCAAAAAAAAAAATCGAATGAATTCGTCAGGGTCAGAAGAAACTGAAAATGTAGTTATCTTCGCAGGAATCACACGGTCCACACGGAAGGAGTCAACAATGTCACATAGATGTGGAACATGCGACTGTACTAGATATGATGAGGCCTACGAAAAAAAAGGAAAATACGCGGACGCTCACTGCATGTACAGCTGTTGCCCCTGGCGTTGTGACTGCACGACCCTATTGTAATCATTAGCTTCGACAAGATAGGCGGCAAAGATTTGTGTAACTTTGCTCCGCCAAGATAAATCGACTAGAGCCGCGACCCTCGTGAACACTAAACCACTGCAAAAATATAGTCACTGTGTCGCCGATGTATTAGCAACATCGTACCACTTCGCGATACTCGTCACTAACCAATCACAAAAGGGTGCTGTTGCTGAGCGCCTGAATCACAGGGGAATCGGGCGCTCGGCCACAACAGAGGGCACTGCAGAGACCGAGCCGAATTTGCTTATCGACCCCTCCTCTCTCTATGATGATGAACGCCGCGTTGTACCCGCAATGCACCAGAATGTTAGAAGGCGCTCTACTAGTCAAAATACATTTCACTACTAAGAAGAATATATCAGTTTTCAGGTCCAAATCTAAAACATGTCAAGACCAAGCAAACGTCTTCGCAGGTAGAGTCCGAACATGAACTGAAAAGAAGAAACATAGTCCATTGGTACTTAAAATGTAGTGGCTTCTAGTCACTGATCAGTAAAAAGCACGTTGCCTGCACCTTAACCGTAGCCGTACCTTTAGCTCGTCTCTTGTCAATATATTATGAGTCGTACCTAGTCTCCCCTAGCCAGACCTCTGGATGCGGTAGTCGGGAGCTGCCAATGGCCGATGGCTTAAGTTTGCGCCCTGGCACAACCCTGGCACGCGAGACGCACGCGGGTGGACGAACTTAAGGTCCGAGCTCAATTGGGGATAGTTCGAAAATTTACACTCGAACATACTTATTTGACACCGAGTGAAAATAAGACCAGGTTGTGATCGCAGAATAACACATCGAAGCGTTAGACATGAAAACTTTTCTAATGAGTTTGAGAAATGGAAGGTGACGTCGCGAGTCACGCGACGGAGCGGCGGTGCCTCAAACATGTTGCCACGATGGAGCGACTGCGCTTTACTAGTACAACTTGAAGCTTCCTCGAGGCTTACA